CAGACGTTAAACTAGGAGGTCCCGCCCCTTAAATAACCTAATAGTGTTGATAGTCGCGTTAAACCCATACCATTTCACCATTTTTTAAAAACCCAATGTTCCGTCTGCTCCGTCGAAATCGTTAGATTGTTCAGAGTCATTTTCAAGATATTCGAAAAATTGCAATCGAAAAAAAAAACCTTGACATGTTGTGAAACTCACATTTTTTAAAGTCAGTTTTCTTAAAACTAGGTACTGAGCAGATAGAACTGTGTCATTATTCGAGGGTAGTCACCTGCACTGCGGGGCCAAGGCACACCGACGTATCTGCTAAAATTATTAATTTTTGCTTCTTCGTTTAAATGGACGCCCATACCTATTCTGCATCTTGTGTCAAAGGCAGGAAGACGTATCTGCACTACAAATAGGATATTTCACCATGGCAAACAGACGTAACTGAAGGGCCATGCCCATATTTCCAATGAAAGCGCGACGTAACTCTAAATCATAAAAAGTGCAGATACGTCGCTCTGCCTTGGCACGGCAGTACTGTGGTATCCACTGGGCGAATGACTCCCTTCCTCAGGTCACTAATTGATCTCCATAACCCAGCACTGATGGCCCTGACTTTGAAATGAGCTGATCGCGTTCTGTAGCTAGGACCATTCTTCCCACACCCATATCCACCTGTCCCACTTTTCATTCATGCTCATCCATCATCCCATTCGCCCACCATCTCTGCTGGTCGATGACTCGAGTGATGTTATGACGCTGTATTGTTGTATTGTGAAGGAACGGAGTTGGAGAATCTTTAAAGGTTCGTTTTTTAGCGTGAGTTATTTGAGCTGTCAAGGTTACTGTTTGGTTTGGTCCAGAAGACGGATGCTGAATAATATAGAGGACATATGCTTGGCGTTGCAGCGATAGTGGAGTCAGTGTCCTAGTGATTAGGCTACCGGACTGGTTATCGTGAGGTTGCGGGTTCGGGGGTTCGAGCCGCGGGCCCGACGTTGTGTCCTTGGGAAAGGCACTTTACACGAATTTTCCCCCTCCACCTAGGTGAAAATGGATATCCAGCTATAGACAGAGAAAGATCTTGTCAGTTTGTTAGTGTTTGAGCGCTTAACCAGCTGCTTGCACTGAATGCTTCCCGGAAGCTGAGAGTGTTTCTGAGTGTTCTATGGTCTGCTGGGGTAATAATATAGTGTAAAGCGCATAGAGCTTGCTTTCGGGTGGGGACATGCGCTGTGCAAATGCTATTTATTATTATTATTATTATATACCCACAGACCCACTTGGAGAGCGCATCTACAGTGGGCAGCAAGTCATAATACAGACTTCAACCAGATTTTGCCGAAAATACCAGGGGCTTACATTGCCACCAAAGTGAGCACAGTTCGAGACCATACGTCCGTTTATCACGTGCACCAGAAATTTTAACTCAGGAATGTCCGTGGTGTCGCAGACAAGTCGATAAAATTCATCAAATTTGGCTAAAATACACAGAGGATTTCGGTGCTGCAAGTGGTTGTTTTGCTCCTTTAGAAAGTTTGCAGTACGCATTGGTAACTCAGTAACAAATACAGAGAAACACATTTTGAAACATTCCCTGCTGTCTTTCTTCTTCGGATTTGAAAAAAATAAAGGCTGTCTGTCAAGGTGGTCCTTTACTTATGTTGAAGTCTGTATGAGGCTTCTCGAATGACCAATTCTGAAGCCAAGACAGAAGCCTGCAAACTGCCCACAAACACGAGTGGAAACGAAGCTTCTAGCTAAGTGCTCAAAAGGTGGCAAATTTTTTTTCTGGCAGACTTGGTCTCATAGGCCGTAGCAAAAGCCAGAAGTCACCCTAACCGTTAGGAGGATTTCTGTATTCTGCTGATGCTTGGGTCATTGTCAGAAACTGAAGGACAAACCGTCATTAGTAAGATTATGATTATGATTTTTTTAATTATGATTTTTTTTATTATGATTATGATGATGATGATGATGATGATGAAGATGATGATGATGATGATG